CACCCCAAACCAGCTAGATCAGATTCTCTGGGTGTAGAGCCTGGACTATGGTGTGTCTCAAAAATGCAGCAGGTAACTCTAAGTGCAGATGATTCTCAGGCAGGCTACTCAAAGTGTGATCCGTGGATCAGAGTATCACCATCACCTGGGAGCTTGTTAGAAATGCAAATTCTCAAACCCACCCCAGACCTATAAGAATCTGTATTTTAACAAGCTCTCCAGATCTGGATGCACGCTTAACTTTGAAAAACCTTACAGAATAATCTCTCTCTCTCTTTCTCTCTCAACATTTTGTTCACTTTATTAATGTTATAAAGATTTGCTGGTTCAGCAAAGGGGTTAATTATCTTTGGGTGTGGTGACTTATTGTCCCATAGAAGGCCCTTTATAAGTGTGAGTGACTAAGTGAAACAGAGACCAACCCTAGTGGAGAATGCAGTTCAAGTCCCAAGGTCTCTGTGTAGTACTTATGCTTAAGTTTCCCTTGAAACAAAGGCAGTACCTGGAAACTTTTTAAACTCATCTTTAGAAGACTAGGTAGGTTTTTCTAAGTTGACAAATGTTTTCGACCAGAACCAGAAGTTTCTTGAAGAGGAATATTTTAGGGGGAAAAAAAAAAAATCTCTTTTAGGAAAGAAGATCTAGACCTATATTATAAAATATTTTAAAATTAACAACATTTGGATTTTAGCAATGACTCCAGTTTCACTTATTTCTTTTACAAGAGTAAAATTAACTTTATTTAAACATAGGAGGCACAGAATGATCCGTTTTAATACAGGTATTTCTGTATCTATCTGCATATATGCAGAGAAAGATGTTTACCTGATGTTATTTATGAATGGGTGAGATTTGAAGTGTTTTGTAAACTTTTTATTTGTACATTTCTACATTGCTGACATTCCTAAAAATGTATACTATTTTTCCAGAAATACTAAAGTTATTTTTCTAGTAAAAAAAAAAACCCCTCATTTCATTAATTTGCCCAGGATGATCAGGATTTGCATACCAATTCACATCAACCAAACTCACAGAGACTGTGAATCAGAATCACAAGATATTAATTAACATACCCATTCCTTAATCTAAGACATGGCATCTGCTTCATGGTGACCATATGTCCTCAGGAGTCTAAATTACATATTAAAATGTTGCCTGATGAACAATGTCTTCTCAGGAAATGTCTTCGGAACTATCATTGACTAATGGTCTGTCCTTCACTGAAGTAATCATTCTTTGTAAAGAACTGTTTTCTCATCCTAAAATCAGGACTCTATTCTCCCATCCTAAATATTTATCGTAAGGTCTAGTTTCCCCAAATTGTGACTGATATTGCTTACACTGGAGGAATTTCCAAATCACAAATGCAAAAGGGTCATGCTGGCAACATTGTCTTCATCCCAAGCATAAAATTAACATCCACGGTAGCTACAATATCAGAAGTTGGCATCTTATCCTTATGTCTAAATCTTGGGTGTGCTCAACTGGGGATGATTTGAGCCATCTGAGTACCCAATACCTGTTGGTTTTTCTAAAAAGTTCATGAGGAACAAAAAGAGTAAATGCAATGTAAGGAAGTAGAGCCTGTGTTGTTGTTGTTCTTTTTTAAGATTTAATGAAAAACATGTTAAATTCAATCCCAAGATGATTAATTATCGTTAGCATATCTCACTTATTAAAAAGAAATAAACATTCCACTCCTTTCTTGAATTGGCTTCAGTTGAACTCTTTCATAGGGGAGATGGGGGAGGGGTCTTTCTACTCTACTGGTATAAATGCTCCAAGATGTGTTATTGTCATAAGTCAGGAACTCAACTCAATACTAGGAGATATTTTTTTCTGTGCAAGTATTTACTATCTTGCTCTAAATTTTAAGTAATTAAACCATGCTGTATCAACTAAGTTTAAGTTTTAAAACAATTATTATTCTACTGATTTTATGTATATGGGCTTTAAATCCTAGTAGGTTAGAATTCTAGTTCTCATATTTCTAGCTGGAGACCAAGTATAAAACAATCCTCGATCTACTTATTTTATAAAATAGGAATAATATCACCTACCTACTTTTTAGGGTTTTCATAAGGTTTACAAAAATATTAAATGTTTAGAGTACATGTAGGAGCTCAATACATGAAATCCATCTGATAATCAAAGGTGTTTAGAAGTGCCTACCCACAAAATATTCTCTGACATAAATTGTACAGTGTTCTTAGAATGTCTATACATGCATAACTAAATCACTTTGCTGTGCAGTAGAAATTAACACAGCACTGTAAATCAACTATACTTTAATAAAATAAATTCTTTTAAAAGTTCATCAAATTTTTGTTTGAGAAGACCTTTGCTCCCGCCTCTCATTTCTTAAATCATTGGCCACACTTGGAGGAGGTGGTCAGAACATAGAAAAGGTACAGGTAATATCTAAATCATTCTCAGCCAAAATTCAGGTGTAGGCAAAAACACATCCACTTAAGTTTACTTGGTTATTTCCCTAGACACTAATGCATCATGTAATGCATATAAACACATATTAATAGTGTATTTTATCCACTAATACCGAGCATACGCAGGGACATGGAATACGTTCATTCTCCTACATCTGTGACAGGTCCTTTTTCTTCTCCTTTTTCTCTTCCTTTTCCTCCTTCATTTGTCTTCTGCCTATTTCCTCTCGTCCCTTATGAATTTGGGTTCTTTTCTCTCTCTACTCTTTTATTGGGGAAAACACAGCCTTGGTTATGCAAATGTCTCTCAGAGTTTTAACTCTAGTCAGTATCCTCTTCTGGAACTACACATCTGCTTTCAACTACACATCCGCTTGGCATCTCTCTGTGAATGTCCTGATGGCACATTAAACTGAATATACCCAAAGTTGCACTCATCCTCATTTTCCCCCAAACTAGCATCTCCTGAGACTCTTATGTCTAAGACCAGTAATAAGCTGGTTTTGGTCCTTCCTCTCCTGATAGCCTATATCAAAGGATCTTAAGTCCTTTGCCTTGATGTCCTAATTATCTTAATCTGTCCTTCCCGTTCCTATTTCTACCTTTCCACTGAGAGATTCTTGCCTCAATTTTTATAAAAACCTCCTGACTGGTTTCCCTACCTCCAGTCTCCTCCCACTACAATCTAGCCTACAAATTAAACCTGGATGAATCTTCCTAAATCACAAAAGCAATAACTTACTTTCATTGCCAAAATCTTCCATTGTGAGAGGAAATACAGACTCATGCTTGGCATCTGAAGGTTCTCTACCAGATGTGATCAAGTTATGCTTTGAGCCCTACCGCCCTCTAGTCCTTTGATCCCGAGGATGCATAAATAAATGACCCCACAGGGACTTCCCTGGTGGCACAGTGGTTAAAAATCTGCCTGCCAATGCAGGGGACACGGGTCCAAGCCCTGGTCCGGGAAGATTTCACATGCCGCGGAGCAACTAAGCCCATGTGCTGCGACTACTGAAGCCCGCGCGCCTAGAGCCCATGCTCCGCAACAAGAGAAGCCACCACAATGAAACGCCCGTGCACTGCAACGAAGAGTAGCCCCCGCTTGCTGCAACTAGAGAAAGCCCACGTGAAGACCCAACACAGCCCCCAATAAATAAATAAACAAACAAATTTAAATAAATAAATAAATAGCCCCACAAAGCCAGATCTGGCTTGCCCATGTAATTTTCTTTGGCTTGCACAATGGCTTTATAAATTTTTAATTATAAGTTGCTTATTTTGAATTAGTTGCTAATATTTACACATTGGAAGATTTCACAAAAATCCAGGTTCTGGCTTCTCATGAAAAGTTAGAGTATCTGGCAACTTTGGGTCCACATTCCCACACAACAAGAGGGCTGAAACTAGGCAGTGAGTGCCTGTTTATGAATGGAGAAACGTGACCCAGGTCACCACAGCCTTCATCTGATTGGTATCATTCACTGTGCTACTGGCTTGGTGTCTGTAGGCACGTGAATTGATGAAGTTTGCCCTATACCACCTAGTGCTCCAGCCAAGTACATCGTTCCCAAATGCATAGTATGTCCTTGCTATGTTATTCCATCTTTCTAGAAATGCCTTCTCCCTCCATCTTTCATGTCTTTAAGGCCCATTTCTAACACTGCATCTTCCGTGAAGCTTTCTCTACCTCCCTGTTGGACATTACTGCCTCATTTTCGTTCCTCTGTTGACACTGTGTTGTTCTCTTATGGCCCATTTCTATTCTCTGCTGGATCCGCCATTGGTATCCTTGATTTCTCCCTGTTTTTCAGGGCCGTGCATTGACAAACACCTCAGGCTTTCTTGAGGAGGGGTTTTTCCTCTTGACCTAGACCTTCTTCCTCCTCCCCTAGAGATTGAGCGAGTCTCTCTTCCCACCCACTTTCCCCTCAGGGATCCACCCGTCTACGCAGTACAGATGGCTTGTTCTGCTTGGTAGTAAAGGCCCAATTCAGCAGGTGAGCCTGAGGTGAGCAATACCTGAGTGTGTACATTTGCCCAATTCTGAAGTTCAGTGTTAGGAAACCCACTGTTGCCACACATCTAAGCCAGGATTTCCCTTCCAGGTTTTATCAGCAAACAAAACTAATATTTTCATTTTCATCTGCTTGAATACTTATCTCACAACTGCTTTCAAGCTCAAGCAGGGAAAAGAAGGGGTACTCATTGGGAGCCTTCTAACCCTAACAATGTGGACTCATTCTTGAATCTCCTGCAGCTCCTAGCAAACGTCATTGTACAGATACTCAAAAACATTTATCAAATTGAATCAAAAGATACAACCAATGTGCATAAAATTCATAGAATATAATTTTTCTTATGCTTATGTCCCCATATATAAACTGTATAAATAATAACTTAAATGTCTGTAAGATTAACAAAATACAACATATGCCATATATAACAGAAAATATTTGTTTCCTATTTACATTTCCATTGTATGTAAATCACTGCACGTCATATCATATATCAAAAAAGAAAAGAAAAAAGGAAAAGAAAGGAAAAAGACAAACCTTAGAAGTCGGTGAAGAAAGCATCACACAAAAGGATAATCAGCCGTCTCAAAGCTCTTGTTTCTTTGCTCTTTTTAAATTTTCTGGTTGTTTCTTGACGAATGGTATCATACTCCAAAATGGCCATTTTAGAAAGTCTCTGTAAGTACTGAGATGGTGCTCCAGTGAGAGGATCGCTGAAGCCAGAACCTGTAAAGAAAAAACCCCCAAACTGTTATTACAATTAAATTAAGCACACATGAATGATATTCTCTAAAAGAGTATACACCAAATATCTGTTCCTCAAATCACCATTAAACACCACTAGCTCTTCATATAACACATTCTTTGAAGTAGAAATGAAAGCTACTTAACTTTCTTAAGTGACTGGGATGGCAAGTCATCTCAAAAAATATTTAACTAAAAAATGCTTAATGTTTATATTTAATGATATAAAACTAAATCTGAGTCTGTCATGTCCTTCTTAAAACATGGGATGGCTGTGGAATTTATTCCAAAATAAAAGGCATGATCTCCATAAATAACTCATTTCATACCTACATGTTTATCAAGTTACTGTGTCCAAACAAAACGATTTCTCATAAACATTGAGGTAAAAGAGTAAAATTATAAAGTAAAATAAGTCACTCACTAACTGAAACAGCATTAATCAAGCTTCTGTTTTGAAGGATAGTAATAACAATAATAACAGATAACAGTTATTGAATGATCTCTCTGTTTCAAGTATTTTTCATCTATACATCCACACAACAATACTATGAAGTAAGTAACTAGTACTATCTTGGATTACATATTTAAAAAAGAGTTTAGACATTGTTAGAGACAAGATTTAAACCCAGATGCATCAATTCGGAGTTCCCATGTAATCACAAATATTGCCCTAAATATGTAATATGTATAAATACTTTTATTTAGAAGCATACAAGGCTTTGAAAATAATACACTGATCCATATTGCTTTAAAATACTATTGTTTAACTTCAGTTTCACGTGCCAAAAATAAAAATTGACCTCAATTCTCCAATGTGGTCGGTATTTTTGTTTGTTTTGTTTTATATGGGTGTGTAATGAGAGTGGGAATTTCAGACCGAGAGTAGAAGGGAAGAATCAATCAGGATTCCAGTTCTTAGCAGTAAGATGGACTTGACACTTAGACTCTCTGGCTACAAAATAACTAGATTCTAAGCATTAAGCAAACCTCAAAAAACTTTAAAGAATTGGTATCATACAGACCAATACAATTAAGTTGGAAGTTGTTAATAATAAGTCTTAAAATTCTCAAATATTTAGAAATGTATACACACATTCTAAATTATTCATCCATCAAAAAAAGACATTGTAATAAACATTAAAAATACTTGTAACAAAATGATAAAGAAAATATTACAAAACTTGTGTGATGCAACAAAAGTTGTACATAGAGGGGTTTATATCCTAAAATTCCTGTGTTAGAAAAGAAGACTGAAAATTAGTAAGCTAGGTATAAGATGTACGTTAGGAAAAGAATAACGCAAAGAACATGGAAGACAATACAGGAAAGGGGAGAAATCAATGAAGTAGAAAACAAACTTACAACTGGAAAGATTTTTAAAAAGACAAGAGTTCTTCACTGAAAAGACTAATAATAAAGGAAAACTTCCAGTTAGATTAATTTAAAAAAAAGACACAAGGCCCAAATAAATAATATGAGAAGTATAGGTAGATCAAAGACTAAACTTTATGCCAATAAATTTGAAAACTTAGACAAAATGCAAAACATTCTAGAAGATATAACTTTACCAAAATTGATGGAAGGAGAATTAGAATGCCTTAAGAGTCCTAAAATTAAAATAACCGAATTAATATTAAAAGATTCCTCCAAAGAAAACAAGTGATCCAAGTGATTTTACAAATGAACTCTATCAGACTTTCAAGAGAGAGATCATTCCAATTTTAGGTCATATCCTTCAGAGAATAGAAAAAGCAGAATACTCCCCAGTTCATTCCATGAGGCCATTACAGTGTTGACACTGAATCCAGACAAGGAGAGGACAGAAAGGAAAATTAGTGGTAAGCTCACTCATCAACATAGATTTTAAAACCCAATAAAATATTAGCATATTAAATATGGCAGTACACAAAAAGAGATAATACATCATGCCTTCAGTGGGGGTATCCAAGGAATGTAAGAGTGGCTTAACATTACAAAATCTACAAATGTTATTCTCCACATTAGAAAATTAAACAGGGGACTTTCCTGGTGGTCCAATGGCTAAGACTCCACGCTCGCAATGCAGGGGGACCGGATTCGATCCCTGGTAAGGGAACTAGAGCCCACATGCTGCAGCTAAGAGTTCGCATGCCGCAACTAAAAAGATCCCACATGCTGCAACTAAGACCCTGCACAGCCAAATAAATATTTTTTAAAATATGAGAAATTTATTTTAAAAAATTAAACAAAAAATCACATTCAGAAAAATGTTTGATAAAATTAAACTTTCATTTATATTTTAAAAAATACAAAAAAACCCACAAAAAACAAACAAAAAACAAAACTCTCAGCAAATTAAAGTTAAAGGGAACTTCTTTACCTTGATAAAGGATATCTACCCAAAACATACATCAAGCATCATTCTTTATGAGATGACATTAAAAGCATTTCCTTTAAAATCAGAAACAAGTCAAAGATGCCGACTTTTCATTTCTCTTCACTATTGTATTGGTGGTTCTAGCCAGCTTAGAAAAATCAGAAAAATAAAGGCATAGGATTTGGAAAGAAAGAATAACACTGACATTATTCACATATGATTATGATAATCTACGTAGAGAACTCAAAAATTTATATATATCATATATAATATGTATGTATACACAGTATAAAATGTATAATATTTATCAAGAAATAATAAGGGACTTTAGCAATGTGGATCAAATTGCAAAAATTAACTATATTTCCAAATATCTGTAATAGAATGTTAGAAATTTTAATTATAAAAGAATTATGGGGCTTCCCTGGTGGCACAGTGGTTGAGAGTCCGCCTACCGATGCAGGGGACACGGGTTCGTGCCCCGGTCCGGGAAGATCCCACATGCCACGGAGCAGCTGGGGCCGTGAGCCATGGCCGCTGAGCCTGCGCGTCCGGAGCCTGTGCTCCGCAACGGGAGAGGCCACAGCAGTGAGAGGCCTGCGTACCGCAAAAAAAAAAAGAATTATGGCAGACTACTAATGATCTTTTCAAAACTTCTTCCAAAACAGAATTTTACTGAGCACAAGGTCATCCAGGTAGAGATTACATTTCTCAGCTTGCTTCAGAGCTAAGTAGAGCTTTGTTAATAAGTATGAACCAATAAGATATGAGCAAATGTGCAACTTTCTGGTCATCTTTAAATTATAATCCTCTTACCCTAGATTTCTGGGCTTTTTTGTTTTTGTTGGGATGTTTTTGATAACTGCTTCAATCTCCTCACTAGTTATAGGTCTGTTCAGTTTTTTATTTGTTCATGATTTAATCTTGGTAGGTTGTATATTTCTATACATTTATCCATTTTTTTCTAGGTTACCCCATTTGTTGACATATAATTGTTCACAGTAGCCTCTTATAATCCTTTTTATTTCTGTGATCAGTTATAATGTCTCCTCTTCCATTCCCAATTTTAGCTATTTGAGTCTTCTCTGCTTTTTTTCTTAGTCTAACCAAGCATTTGTCAACTTTGCTGATCTTTTCTAAAAACTAAATCTTCATTCTGTTGATTTGTTTTCTGTTCTCTATTTCATTTATCTCTTCTCTAATCTTATTATTTCCTTCCTTCTTGTAAGTTTGGGCTTAGTTTATTCTTCTTTTTCTAGTTCCTTGAGGTATAAGTTTATGTTGTTCATTCAAAATCTTTTTCCTTTTTTTATGTGTTTACCATAAATTTCTCTCTTAGCACTGCTTTTGCTGCAATCTATAGGTATGTTGTATTTCTGTTTTCATTTGTCCCCAGATATTTTCTAAATTCCCTTGTGATTTCTTCTTTGACCCATTAATTGTTTAAGAGTATACTGTTTACTGTAGGATTTTTAAAAAAGATCATCTGTATCAAGTTAGGAAAGTTCCCTTCTCATAGTTTGCTAAAAATATTTTTAATCATGAATATAGAATTTCATTAAAATATCTTTTGCAATTATTAAAGTGAACGTATGAGATTTCTCCTTTATTCTATTAATAAGATGAATGACACCGATTGCTTTTCTAACGTTAAATCAATCTCGCATGCCTTATGTAAATCTGATATGATTGTGCTGCATTATCCTTCTTATATATCGCTGAATTTGAATTGGTAGCGTCTTGTTTAGAATTTTTACTTCTATTTTATAGGAAAAGTTGGTCTATAATTTTACTTTCTTATAACGTCAAAGCTAGGTTTTAGAATCAAGGTTAGAGACCTCATAAAATGGGTCTTTAAGTGTTCCCTCTTTTCCTATTTTCTGGAATAATTTACGTAACATAGCTTTTTTTTTTTTTTTTTTTTAATGTTGGAAGAATTCACCAGTGTCAATTCTGTGTCAATTCTAAGTTGTGTTTTCTCTTTTCTTATATAATATTGGTAATTTCTCTCTCTCTCTGTCTCTTTCTCTCTGTCTCTCTCTCATCTGACTTGCTACATATTTATCAATTTTATTCACATTTTCAAAAAACTAACTTTTGGCTCTGTTGATTTTCTCTACTGAATATTTGTTTTCTACTTCATTGATTTCTGCTCTTTATTATTTCTTCCTTTTATTTTCTACATTTTAATTTGCATTTCCCTGATGACAAGTGATGTTATGCATCTTTTCCTGTATCTACTACCATTTGTATGTCTTCTTTGAAAAAATGTCTACTTAGGTCCTTTGCCCACTTTTAAATTGGGTTATTTGGTTTTTTGCTATTGAGTTGTAGGAGTTCCTTATATATTTTGGATATTAACCCCTTATAAAATATATGGTTTGCAAATATTTTCTCCCATTCCATATGCTGCCTTTTCATTTTGTTAATTGTTTCCTTTTGCTGTTCAAAAGCCTGTAGGTTTGATATATCCTACTTGTTTATTTTGCTTTTGTTGCCTATGCCCTATCATCTGTTAAATCTATTGTATTTTTCAGCTCAATAATTTCTATTTTTTATAGATTCTAATTCTCTGATATAATTTTTCATCATTTTCTCTATTATCTTGAATATATTAAATATAGT